CCTCCTGTGATGTATTGCCCCTACCAAAAGGACCCAAATCTCAGTTCTCTTGGTATTTATAGGGAAAGGTGTTCCTCCAAGTATTTTGGTCCCAAGTCATTTAGAGCTTTCAGTGTTATCACCACTCGTACCTTGAATCCTCCCAGGAAAGGCCACGCTGCTGAAAAATTGTTCATACTCAAATTAAATGCAGGATCACTAACTTCACACAGGTTTGTGTGTTTTGTTTTGTTTTTTTTTTGTCGTGTCAGGAGCGACTTGAGAAACTGTAAGTCGCTTCTGGTATGAGAGAATTGGCCGTCTGCAAGGACGTTGCCCAGGGAATGTCCAGATGATTTTTGATGTTTTTATCATCCTTGTGGGAGGCTTCTCTCATGAGGAGCTGGAGCTGATAGAGGGAGCTCATCTGCCTCTCCCCGGATTTGAACCTGCAACCTGTCTGTCAGCCGGCACTTGGGGTTTAACCCACTGCGCCACCGGGGGCTCCACTTCACACGGTGACAATATTTTTTCCTTCTCTATGATGCCCTGATGCTCATAAGAGCAAGTGCCTTTGAGGCCCTCTACTGGAGAAAATAAATATATACAGCATTGTGCTTTCTAATTTTTTTTTTAAGTAGGAGTCTTCAAATTGCCTGTTGATTTATGACAATCTCATGAATTTCACAGGGGTTACTTAGGCAACGAATACTAAAAGGTGGGTTTTTCTTGCTTTCCATTGACATATAACCTGAAGCATTTGAACAAAAGGCTGTGCAAAGATTTGTTTTGAAAAACAGGGTCCAGCTGGTTCAGCCAACCATCATGGCACAAGCTCTGCTGCCATGTTTTTGGACCGCAACAGACCACATGGCTGCCAAAAACAACTGCTTTCCATTTCTTTTGGCTACGCAAGAAGTGCAGAGAGGCATTGCGAGCAGATTTCGGAGAGAGACAGATGGGTGATCTGAATTGTCAGTGCCCCTCACAGCTCTGCATGTCTTGATTTGCTTTTTGACTCAAATAGCAAAGTAGTTTACACACTTAAGAAACTGCCATCAATGGTGCCCTTCACATGAGGCAAGCTTCAAATGTGGGGTAGAGGTAGCTTACCATTTCTAAAGCCACCATAAAATAAATGAGGTAATTTATATCTTCTTTTAAGAATGAGGCATGCTCCTTTAGGTGATGTGGCTCCCATTGAAATAAGTTTTTAATCCAGCTTCGTTGAAAGGGTGTTGAAGGCAAACAATCCCAGAGAGGGTGGTTTCTTAAGTCTGGTGCCTTTAATCCAGGTCTTATTGAAGGATATAAGGAAAATGATCCCAGAAAGGGTGGGGGGGGGGGGGTTCTTAAGACTGATGCTTCTAACCCAGGTCTTATTGAAGGATATAAGGAGAAACAATCCCAGAAAGGGGAGTTTCTTAAGACTAATGCCCTAAAAATGATGGAAAGGGGAAGTTCCCCATTGCCACCAATAGGCCGGATCTTCCTCAATCTTTCAGTTGCTGGATCAAAAAAATGGATTTCAGTCCTCCTGAATTTGGGAAGTTCCTGAAAAATGGAAAGGGAAGGCCACTAAATTTGGGCCACCAAAAATGGACCGGGTTTTAGTTGAATTGTACACGTCTACTAAATACCCTAAAGGCTATCACCTTCCCTATCCACTTTTTGCAAAGATCTAAAGACATGGATATTCTGCTATGCATTTGACTAGACAATTCCCTTGTCAACTGGCCCCAGTTAGGATCCAAAATCTAGACCACACTTTTTACTACAAAGTCAGAATGACTCTTTTATATTGCTCTTATCTTTAATGCTGCTATACAACCTATGTACTTTACTAACTAGCCCTATCCTCTGAATTTGTTGTGCACCAGTCCACCCACCCATATTGAGCCTTGAATTATGCTATTGTTGTTGGTTTTGATGCTTGTTTTATATATGTTTTATGTTGTTTTAAATTTATGTTATGCATTCTAATGTGTTACTTTTTTAATTTTGTCAATTGGGCTTAGCCCCATGTAAGCCACCCCAGATCCCTTCGGGGAGATGGAGGCGGGGTATAAAAATAAATTAGTAGTAGTAGTAGTAGTTAAGACACTAGATACTGTAAGATATGCTTCTTGACTTATGGCAATCCCATTAATTTCTTAGGTAAAGAATACTCAATGTTTTGCCAGTATTTTCCTCTGAAATACAGCCTACAGCACCTAGTATTCAATTTCAATCTCTATCCAAGCACAAACCAAAACCAATCCTGTTTAGCTTTGAGTTAAGATGTGATCTAATGCCTTTAGGGCAGTGATTCTCAACCTGGGGTCCCCAGATGTTTTTGGCTTACAACTCCCAGAATTCCCAGCCAGTTTACCAGATGTTAGGATTTCTGGGAGTTGAAGGCCAAAAACATCTGGGGACCCCAGGTTGAGAACCACTGCTTTAGGGTATGAAGGTCCTAGAGACTTCCTAAGCAGAAGATGTCACTTTCTTGTAGACAAGAAGTTGCATGCTAAGGTTGCTGCAGTCTCTTTCAAAAATGACAGACACTGTGTGGGTTAAATGAAAATTTGTTTTAAAAGTCAGTTTAGACTTATAATGTAATGCCTTGGAGCCACTATTCTTGTAGGTAATTTGATTAAGAACCACTGGATATTGGAACAAAAGCAGCATTTAGAGTGCCGCATTTAGAAAGCTTAATTTACTACAGCTCATCAGCATGTACATAACCAGAAAAAGTACATAGCCTGAATTATCATCATTATTGCAATGAGCATTAATTTGGCAAAAGCCTTGATATGGTCTGAGAAAACTCTATTACTGTAAATATTTTCCCCTAATTTGTTTTGCAACATTGATGTGGCTTGGGGAAGCTGTATTAGGATAACAGACTATTTGCTTAAGGCTACTTAGATATTGCAAGGGAAGTGGGTGGATTATGAGCTTGATTTAGTTGGCTCTGCCTCTGACCACCCACCACTAGCTGGAAAACTGCATGAAACTACCAAGCTATATGCTACATAGAGTGGAAAATGTAGCAGCAAGATTATTGACTGGGCTACTATAAGGACAACACATAACACTGGCCACTAACAGAACTACACTGGCTGCCAATTCCCTTCCAGTCTGAATATAAGAGTCTTGTGTTGACATTCATAGCTATGGACATTTGGGACCTCGACAATTGAGGGAGGTCCTCTCTCTATGTGTTCCAGCCTGGAAATTGTGTTATCCCAGAAATGCTTTTCTCTGGGTCCTACCAGATGAAGGACACAAAGGAAGGCCTTCTTGCTTGTGTCACTCGCCTTGTGGAATGCTCTTTCTTTGGAGGCCTAACTGACCCTAGCATTGGTTTGTATATAAGTTTATATATAAGTTAAACTTGCAGCGATGAAACTGTGAAAGCTTCCATTTTGATGGGATGGTGAATCTACATTGAAGTGCATCTACACTGAGGAATTAATGCAGTTTGACACCACTTTAACTATCATGGTTCAGTGCTGGTACCACACCAAACTACAAATCCCAGGATTCTATAGTATTGAACTATGGCAGTTAAAGTGATCGCTAACAGTATTAATTCTGTAGCACAGAGCTAACTTAGGCCCAAGTTTGAACTTTAAAACAGGGGTCTTCAAACATTTTAAAGAACAGAGGGCAGGTTCATGTTCCCTCAGACTGTTGGCAGGGTGAGGGGGGAACTATAGTTTGAAAGAACCATGAACAAATTCCTATGCACACTGTACATATCTTATGTGTACTTCAAAAAAATGAAAGAACAACACAATTTAAAATTAAGAACAATTTTAATCAACATAAACTTTCCAGTATTTCAATGAGAAGTATGGGCCTACTATGGACTAATGATATAGCCAAGTCAATTGAGATTGTTGTTGTTGTGCGCCTTCAAATCATTTCAGACTTACGGTGGGGGGAGGCAGTTAAATTACCTTGGAGGGCCACATGCAGGCCATCATTTGGGGACCCCTGCTTTAGAAGAACTTTAATGTTTGAACTTTAAAAGAGCTGTCCAACTGCTGAAATGTATCCAGTGCCTCCATAACTCCTTTAAAGTTACTTTTTAGTCCTTCAGCAAGAACTTCCGGTTTTGGCAAGAATTCTGGTTTTGGCATGGCAACAAAAGCCGAAAGGTTCTTTCTGTAAGCCATTTGTGTGATTTGTGTGTCTCTAGAGAGCAGGAGTTCATCTGGCTAACATAAATAAAGCCAAGAAGAAGTAATAGATTTGCAGAAGAATATGAGACAATTAAAAGAAGGAACAAGACGATACTACTATTAGATTTAATATTAGATTTCTCATAGAGGATATATAGAATCTCCAATATCTTTTGTAATGCGTGTTAATGGAATAGAGATGAAGATTTAATTGTAACAATGTTCATTTTTTATTAGAGTCCCCCTCCCAGCCCAACAAACCTCATTTTCTTTTTTTTCTTTGTTCTCACTTTGCAACATACTAGATATTTGCAAAGGGCTAACCTATTAATTACAACTTTAACATCCCCTTAGTCCTTTTCTTTTCTTTTTCTCTTCTGTCCTTACTCCCACTCCCTTGGTATAAATTATTTCTTTTCTATGTTTATTTCAAAATGCTTAATAAAATTATTATTTTAAAAAAAACAAACTAAAATTGTAGCACATCTTCAGCCCATTAGCTGTCCTTGTTCTAGAGGAGCTTCATATTACTAGTATCTAGGATATAAGGCATTCACAATGACAGCTGTCACATGCAGATTTTGCTATGAGGTTTCATTTTGAAACTAACATTTATCCTCAAATGCTTATGAAACACAGAGGACAGTGAGTGTATGACAGGCATGTAGCAATTCTTTAAAGAATAATTCTGGGTTGCAAAGGAATGGAAAGTCTTGAGCAAGGGATGACTGGTAAATAGGACTACGTTTCCCAAGATGCAGTGCTGCAAGCTCCACCGAGAAGCCAAAACTCCCTCCCTCCACACACACACACACACACACACACACACACACACCTCCTAAACAACCACTTTAGCAACGTCTTCAGCAGCATGATTGTCAGTAAGTGACAAGAAGAAGAGGAAGCCATGGGACAGAGATCCTGGGTCCGAGCAATGAAGTGTCAGTTGCTGGCAGCTAGCCTCTTCATCATGGTAATGGACCAAAGAACTATGCAGAAACTATGCTCACCAAACAGGTCACTGTAATTTTGATAAATGTGACAATTTTATTTTATTGAGAAAAATGTTCATTGGACAAACTGGCTAAGAAATAGAAGGAGCGTCTAGTTAAAAGTGTGAAGACATGTGTCCAGGGCCTTATCGCTATTTCACAGCACTGCCTTTTCTTATCCACAAGCTTGTGGTTTGCCACTCTAAGAAAGCTGAGAAAAGGCTCTGAGAAATGTAGCTTCAAGCAGGCACTCCAGCCTTAAACCTAAGAAAACAATTGTTTAATTTGTTTGCTCAGGAAAAGTGTCACTTTTTCAATAGATAACATAAATTTAAAGGATTTAAAATGTCAAATAGTGTCATTTCTGAAATGTCATTTCAGACAGAATTTCGGGTGAATTCTGAATTCTTTCTGCAAAAACAAAATTTTATTTTGACTGGAAAATGAAAATACACTTTCAAAATCTCACTCTATTGGTTCTTTAAATAATATATTGGTTTTCTGCCATTACTAAAAGGGCTTGGTTACTTTATTGGTGTTGCAAAAGGACCAAAGGATAATTAGTAAAAACTGCCACATTTTAGAAAAAAAGGGTTAGTTAAAACATCAGCAATTTTTATTAAGAGGGATGTAGTTAACTGTACAGCATATTTTGAATGATACAGTTTGGTGTTAGCTAAGTCTTAATTTGTGGACTGATTTTAGATTTTACGATTTCTAATAGTCTGTGATTCCTTGTCTTTAGGACTTCCAGTAGCCAGTGGCTAAACTGAAAAAAATAAACTGAAAGCTTATTTTAAAGCACACTTGTATATAAAATAACTTCAAATGAGCCAAAACACCAGCTGCTTCCTGATTTGTAGTCCTTCCTGTATGTTTTCATTCCTTGACTTCCTTCTCTTTTCAGTTGCTTGGATTATCAGTAAGCATATTGAGCATTGTCACCTACCGTGGAAAGCACTTTACTGTCATAAAAGATGCCTCCTTGGAGAAAAGCTCCTACTACAGAACTTTTCATAGTGTAGGTAAGTGTTGGGGCTTGGGGAAAGAAAGGTCTCGTTATGCTGCAGTGTCACCAAAGTGTAATTTTTGGATTGTGGGCCACATCATCTCTAGCCAGATTAACCAATACTGGGAGATACAATTCACCTGAAATGGCTGAATGCTATTAAATTACCTAACTTCTGGTCCCAGCATACCATAGAAATGCACGGGAGGACCTGGAGATTTCTAAAGAGGCATCCTAGAAAGCATATCATGGAATCACTTGGAGAAACTAGGAAATTCCTAGAGAAACAATCCCCTCACCCAAGGCATGGCAAGTGAAGCTGGATATGGCTTATGCAGTTACAGAGGTTGTAGTGTAGATAATATAAATTTAGAAAATAATCCATGCTAGTCATCATTGATTAGAGAGCTTCAGAAAGTGATGGGACTTTGCATCCTTATTTATATATGATCTCTGTTCCTCAGTTTTCTACACGGGGATATGCGTTAGCATCATTCTGACGGTTGCTTCCCTACTGAGTATTGTTGCCACAGTGAGAGAACTGGAGAGTGGCATGGCAGCGGTAAGTAGCTATCAAGTTGGTCTTGACTGGGGATTGCTCAGCTGTCAGTGTGGGGTTTCTGGACAGTTTAGCCATATAACAAGAAGAATCTCTGCATGTTGGAGCTTTCTGTAACATAGGGCTACAGCAGTGGTTCTCAACCTTTCTAATGCCGTGACCCCTAAATAAAGTTCCTCATGTTGTGGTGACCCCCCAACCATATTTTTGTTGCTACTTCATAACAGTAATTTTGCTACTGTTATGAAATGTAATGTAAATGTCTGATATGAAGGATGTATTTTCATTGTTACAAATTGAACATAATTAAAGCATAGTGATTAATCACAAAAACAATATGTTTGGGGGAGTGTGGGCAACGGATGATGGGATCTGAAGTACCTTCAACTGATGCAGCTCTGACTTCCAGAGACCACTGAGACACCCCCCCCCCCCCCCCCCCCGAAATACAGGCTTGGACCAAACTTGGCATACAGAACCCTAATGACCAACAGCAAATACTGGAGGGGGTTGGGGGGAACTGATAGTGAATTATGGGAGAGGTAGTTCACCTACATCCAGACAGCACTGTGAACCCAAATTACTATGGATCTGGACAGAACTTGGCACAAATAGTATGCTCAAATCTGAAGACTGGTGGAGTTTGGGGAAAATAGACCTTGGCATTTGGGAGTTGTTGGGATGTATAGTTCCCCAGCCATCAAAGAGCATTCTGAAATTCAACCACAATTAAATTGGACCAAACTTGAGCTGTGTGGAAGGGGCCTGGGTTCTCTGAGGCCCCAAATAACCCAGGCCCCTTCCACACAGCTGAATGAAATCCCGCACTGGCATTTGGGTCCTCTTCCATACAGCTGCATAAAATACACACTGAAGTGGATTATCTGGCTGTATGGACACAGATAATCCAGTTCAAAGCAGATAATGTGGGATTTCATTCAGCTGTGTGGAAGGGGCCTGGGTTATTTGGGTCCCCTTCCATACAAATGCATAAAATACACACTGAAGTGGATAATCTGGCTGTGTGGACATAGATAATCCAGTTCAAAGCAGATAATGTGGGATTTCATTCATTTGGGGAAAATAGACCTTGGCATTTGGGAGTTGTTGGGATGTATAGTTCCCCAGCCATCAAAGAGCATTCTGAAATTCAACCACAATTAAATTGGACCAAACTTGAGCTGTGTGGAAGGGGCCTGGGTTCTCTGAGGCCCCTTCCATACAGCTGCATAAAATACACACTGAAGTGGATTATCTGGCTGTGTGGACACAGATAATCCAGTTCAAAGCAGATAATGTGGGATTTCATTCATCTGTGTGGAAGAGGCCTGGGTTAGTTGGGGCCCCTTCCATACAGCTGCATAAAATACACACTGAAGTGGATTATCTGGCTGTGTGGACACAGATAATCCAGTTCAAAGCAGATAATGTGGGATTTCATTCATCTGTGTGGAAGAGGCCTAGGTTAGTTGGGGCCCCTTCCATACAGCTGCATAAAATACACACTGAAGTGGATTATCTGGCTGTGTGGACACAGATAATCCAGTTCAAAGCAGATAATGTGGGATTTCATTCATCTGTGTGGAAGAGGCCTAGGTTAGTTGGGGCCCCTTCCATACAGCTGCATAAAATACACACTGAAGTGGATTATCTGGCTGTGTGGACACAGATAATCCAGTTCAAAGCAGATAATGTGGGATTTCATTCAGCTGTGTGGAAGGGGACTGGGTTATCTAGGGCCCCTTCCATACAGCTGCATAAAATACACTCTGAAGTGGATTATCTGGCTGTGTGGACACAGATAATCCAGTTCAAAGCAGATAATGTGGGATTTCTTTCATCTGTGTGGAAGAGGCCTAGTTTAGTTGGGGCCCCTTCCATACAGCTGCATAAAATACACACTGAAGTGGATTATCTGGCTGTGTGGACACAGATAATCCAGTTCAAAGCAGATAATGTGGGATTTCTTTCATCTGTGTGGAAGAGGCCTAGGTTAGTTGGGGCCCCTTCCATACAGCTGCATAAAATACACACTGAAGTGGATTATCTGGCTGTGTGGACACAGATAATCCAGTTCAAAGCAGATAATGTGGGATTTTATTCATCTGTGTGGAAGGGGCCTGGGTTAGTTGGGGCCCCTTCCATAAAGCTGCATAAAATACACACTGAAGTGGATTATCTGGCTGTGTGGACACAGATAATCCAGTTCAAAGCAGATAATGTGGGATTTCATTCATCTGTGTGGAAGGGGCCTGGGTTAGTTGGGTCCCCTTCCATACAGCTGCATAAAATACACACTGAAGTGATTATCTGGCTGTGTGGACACAAATAATCCAGTTCAAAGCAGACAATGTGGGCTTTCATTCATCTGTGTGGAAGAGGCCTGGGTTATTTGGGTCCCCTTCCATACAGCTGCATAAAATACACACTGAAGTGGATTATCTGGCTGTGTGGACATAGATAATCCAGTTCAAAGCAGATAATGTGGGATTTCATTCAGCTGTGTGGAAGGGGACTGGGTTATCTAGGGCCCCTTCCATACAGCTGCATAAAATACACACTGAAGTGATTATCTGGCTGTGTGGACATAGATAATCCAGTTCAAAGCAGATAATGTGGGATTTCATTCAGCTGTGTGGAAGGGGCCTGGGTTATTTGGGTCCCCTTCCATACAGCTGCATAAAATACACACTGAAGTGGATTATCTGGCTGTGTGGACATAGATAATCCAGTTCAAAGCAGATAATGTGGGATTTCATTCAGCTGTGTGGAAGGGGCCTGGGTTAGTTGGGTCCCCTTCAATACTGCTGCATAAAATACATATTGAAGTGGATTATCTGGCTGTGTGGACACAGATAATCCAGTTCAAAGCAGATAATGTGGGATTTCATTCAGCTGTGTGGAAGGGGCCTGGGTTATTTGGGTCCCCTTCCATACAGCTGCATAAAATACACATTGAAGTGGATTATCTGGCTGTGTGGGCTCCTCCTTCCCCAACAGCTAAGATGTTTCTTACCCAGGGAGCAACCAGCTGGTCCACTCACTAACCTTGCAGCAACAACAACAGGCAGAGCCTTCGAGCCAGGGAGGGGGGAGGTGGGGCAAGGCAGCAGGACCCTTTTCCTCTTCCTCCAGTTGCCCATCGAGGAGGACGAGGAGAAGGGACACTGCTGCAGTTTCTCCGCATCTTCCTCTTCCATGGCCAGTTGGAGGAGAAGAAACAGCAGCAGAGCCCCTTCTCCTCTTTTTCCTTCTCTTTCTCCTTGATGGCCAGCTGGAGGAGGAGGAGCAAGAAGAGGAAAAACAGCCGCAGCAGCCCCTGTGCGGCCTCCGCGGTTTCTCCTCTTCTTCATGGGGGAACTGACCTTTGTTTTGGTGAGTTGTAGTTCACCCACACCAGAGAAATTGACCTCCCCCCATGATGGTCCTGGGTCAAACTTGGGCAGCAAGAGCCAGCCCATATGGGGAGCCTTCCACTCGACCCCCACCCCTTCTAAGCTCACGGGGAGGGGAGGGCCCAAGAAGGTCTCCAAAAATAGTGTACCTTCTCCCTTGCGCGCCTTTGCCTCTAAGCTCCTCCTCTTGACTCCATGCAGCCTTGTGGGAAGAGGAGGAGGAGCCGACCTCGAGTGCCTGCATGTTTGGCTGGCACAGGGGCCGGCAGCCATTTTGGAGGGGGCGGGGCTAACCGAGGTGCCTTCGCGACCCCCCAAAAATGACCCAGCGACCCCCCTGGGGGTCGCGACCCCCAGGTTGAGAACCGCTGGGCTACAGGAACTTACTTTATACTGCCAGCCATCTCTGAAGGGATGTATTTTATAATTATTGAATAAAGTATTTCAGACTATGAGCTATTCCTGGAAAGCACTGGATGACAAAAGAACAACATTCTATGACTTATTGATAAATTAAAATAAACAGTTTACACTCTCTGATAGTATCCACTTGAGACTTTTTAGTTCACCAAAATGTGAAATACCTGTGTTCTTTTAATGGATTAACCCCCATAGCAGAGCTGGAAAGCAGCCAATGCAGCTCCTTTTTTAAGGGTCCTGGGAAATGACAAAATGGTTTATTTAACTGCTGTTTTTGGTTAATTGTTAGCAAATATTATTAAAGACAAAATTATCCAACATGCATAAGAAAGTCTTACTGAAATGAACATTTAGGCTGCAAAGATAGGTCCCATCTCAAATACCTTTTAATGTCCTTTCAAAGTGGCAAGTATCTAGATGGGGTGTTAGAATAAGCATCGACAATGTTACTGTTGACTCCTTTCCTAGACAGTGTGGTCCTCCAGATATTTTTGGACTGCGGCTTCTGGGATTCCTTACCATAGGCTATGTTGGCTAGGTACAATGGGAACTGAAGTCCAATAGCATGTGAAAGGATCTATACCATGGAATTGAATCATCCCCTAAAAATGCTGAAAACGGAGGTGAACTTTATTTCCTGCTGTCAGTTGTGACCTCTAGATCTCATTTGTAAAGGATATGGCAGGAGGTTCCTGCACTCAGCTGAAAAGACAAATGAAAACAGTATAGATGGTATTTTTATATATCCAGATTAATGTATGCTAAATAAATGTATGGTAGAGATAAGACAGCAAAAACTCCTCAAATACTTCCAAGTGAGGTTATTTACACAAAAGCAATATTATAGGGCATATTGTTAGAAGAGGGTTTCATCAGTTTCTAGATAACTAAAAAAAACTCATTTCTTTGATGGACCCATTAATACTATCTAATATTCTACTTACACCATTTAATGTACAGTATTGTTGGGATTTTACTGGATGTAAATAAATTTCTGCACATTGCGTGATTGGATTCCAGTCATCTTTTCTAAGACTCTATTATATGATGTTATGATGATTTCTTAAGCAATATTTCAGTTTCCTCAATCGATATATTAGTGTTTTTCATTGTAACACTAGCTTTATCAGTAGGAATGGGCTGAGCCAGATAAGTGAATTATATCATTAGATAAGTGGGGAAATGCTT